TTTAATTTGAAAGTCAGAATCAAACTGCAAAAATTTAATTACATGTACTATTAAGAACACGTTTTAGTAGGATTTTAATAATAATGATAATTATCGCCGTTCAATAATTAACAGCCAATTATTCGTTGGTGCGTTTGTTTATTTAATTGCATTATTTGATTGTGAAACTTTGTTAAATAATAACATGTGTATTTATTAAATCTCTGAAATATTGTTTAATTACATTAAGATGAGACTTTAATGAACATAGCATTGCTTGGAGTAACGGGCATCACTGGCCTGAAGTGGTGCGACCGGTAGACGTTGATTTTTTTTGTTTCTTTATGTTTTATTGTTTTTTTATTTCTTGGATATTGTTACGTATTTTGAACCATAAAAAATCTCCTTTACACCTCCTGTGAAAATTAAATTGTCTGGTCAATACTTTATTATATTAATATTTCCCTCCGATTCAACTACATTTATCATAAATCTAAAGATGTGGGGAAATGACATCACGCGCACCTGTTTTCACACTGGCCATAGCTTTCGCAGAAGCGGTGGGTCTACCGGTGCGGCGATGGAGATTTCGTCGCAGAAGCGGTGGAAAAACATGGCTGTCGGATAGATTTTTGCTGGTGTCGGTAAGTTTATGACTTATTTGTACGTTATGTTTTTATGTTCTACTGATAACACCTAGTGAGACTGGAGCCCACATATGTACTCTTCCAACTTATTACACGCATGGGGTGCAAATCATGACCAGTTATGCAAACACTTCTGTACAGTTTGACGAGGGGACGCCACTTTTGCCTAATTTTGATTATAACACTACATATGTACTCAAAACTACCCCTAGATACACTGGCATCGCATCGTATGTATGATAATTACACAAAACAACCATATTTTGGAACTTTTTGAAATTGATATTACCATTTTAATAAAAGAATTGACAAAAATTGATTACAACGCAGACGGTGGTGGATTCGATTGCAACGCAGTGCGGTGGGCCCGATATCATTTATGTCTTTTTTTTAACGTTAAAGTCACAAACACTTTGGAGTTGAGCTCCAAACACCTAAAAATACAAATGAAATATATATTTGTTAATCCTAACACATATAGTTGTTATATATATCAATGAAAGTAAATATACGCTCTTTGCATCATGAACCTTATAAATATGTTTTAATAAAACAATCCCTGTTTTAGATACTAGTTTAACATATTTGGGTGTATGTTAACTACATTTATCACACACCCATGCCGATTTTGCGACTCCGTAAATATGGTATGGCACGGCCGTGCATATATTTTGACGTGACGTCATTAGCGTTATGCTAACATAGTGTAAAGACGCGTTAAATGTTAACGTTATACTATAGGCGCGTCAATGAAAAATGACTCTTATTTCACTTTAAACGGTCTCTATTTTGGGTATGTGATAAATAGAATATTAAATTCGTGTAAGTTCATTACTGACTCGTTGAAAAAATGAATATTATGCTCGCCAGAGGCTCGCATAATATAAGTTTATTCAACTCGTGCAATAAATTCAGTATTGAACATACACTTATTCAATAAACTATGTATGGGTTGTTTAAAAATTCATTATAATGTATACATTTATTTTCGTAATTATCTTTACAAACTATGCATTCATGAAATGTTAATTATAGCTTTAATTGAATTTAATCTATCAATTTAACAAATCAAAATGTTTTTGTAGTTTAACACACAAGAGTCATCATTAACTATGCATTACTAACACATTGGTCATAAATATATTTTGAACTTTATTTTTACTTATGAACAGTGTGTGATAAAATTTTAATACATTGATAAGATGAGATGAGATGAGATGAGATCTGTTGATAGTGACACTACCTTTAGCTTTATTGCTTTATGTATTTTTTTTATTTTATTTATTTCATTTTTTTTATATAACTTTACATGTTAACATTAAATTATATAAATTTTTTATTTAACGTGTACAAAGCTATAAGTAGGCTGCATGTAACATAAAAAATTATAGAATGCATTTTGAAATAAAATATTACAAAATACCTGACAAAAAAAGGCAGACGAAAATGTTGTTTATTGGCCTATGAGCGAATTGCACATGCACGCGTTCAAATTATCGTATATTTTTGTTTGTAAATTGTAATTGTAATCTTTAAGTCAGAATTCAAATTGTCGCTCTTTCGTTTTCGTTGCTTTTCACGGTCTGTCGTTCCTCCTTTGGTTGGACAGTTTGGTCAAAGTCAAAGTATTTATTAGCATAAACATATATACATGTTTCTCGCCACACATAATTGCCTTATATATAACAAAAGTAATATAATATTGAAAAGTATGAAAATATATAATTCATGTTTCATGTTCATGTTTTAACTAAAGATGGGCAGTTTTAAGTACACATAAACACATACAATACAAGACATGTCATATTTAACATATCTAATAATATACAGCATAAATATGAAAAATAGTTTAAAGAAATACATATTTTATTATACAACAACACTCGTTTCTCTTCTTTAAAGCCAGATAGACAAATTCTGCAAGTTTAATTATAACAGATCTTTTGGTTGTTGACATAAGCTTATTGAATTTATTCATATTAGGCCATGTGTAATAATAATTATCTAAAAGAGTTAAACGTAATTCTCTATAAAAAGGACACGTTCTATGCCCGGAGATTTATGGAAACCCCATATTTCAGATCCGTAACATAAAATTAGTAAAAGAGTTTTAATTTATCTTCAATATCTAAATTAACATTATCAAAAAGGGAGTTCAAAGAATAAAGAGCCTTCAAAGCTTGGGCAGACAATGATTTTTGAGCTTGATAAAAACATCCATTAGATGATAGCGTTACTCCTAAATAAGTAAATGTTTTAACTTGTTTTAAAATTTTATTGTCATACTTAAGCGATATATTTGAAGGTCTATTACCTTGTCTAAAAACCATTACAACTGTTTTATCTGAATTAACTTCAATACCCCATTTCCTACAATAATTAAACAATTTATTAAGTAGAATTTGTAAACCTTGTTCAGAGTAAGAAAATAAAGCAGTATCATCTGCGAGCAACAACAAATAAATTTGTAATTCCTCAATGGTAAAAACATCTATACTATCGTCAGCTAAGTGATCTTGCATATCATTAATAAACATAATAAACAACAAGCCCGTGTAACTATCAAAAAAGTCAGTTAGTGAGCCATTATTACGTACACATAATTTCACACCCTCATACATGCTTCTTAGAATTTTTAACATTTTACCTGAGAGTTTGGTGGTTTTTGTTGTCCAACTTTGTGTCATCTATTATAACGTTTGCTACAATTACGTTTTCTATATGAAAGCGTATTTAAAGTTTCTGATTAATCTTTTGATTATATCATAATCTATTCTTAGACAATAAAGACGTCTGGCTCTGCCAGACATTATCAATCAAATTTCTATGTTTGTATTTTAACTCTACTGAGGATGACACAAATTAACAAGGAGGAACATGTACCGTGGTAAAAGTAAAACATAAATACATTTCCAAACTTTTCATGAAAATGAACATGATATTGAGGCGTGCTGCTTTAAAATCCTAATAATTGTATATTTATTAATTCCAGCCCATATACTTATCATATATTTCAATAAAACTTACATATATGCTATTTTGAAGAAAAAGTAAATATTTATACGTCAATCACAAGATAAAAAATGTGTTAGAAAAAATCGCACATCCTTCAAATCACCTTGCAATTGATTTTATTTCCAATATTTTCGCATTATCCTTTTGTCAACAGGTGACACGAGTCATCTATTAAACATATATTACTGGTACTTATTATATATTTTCATCATATTTTTCTTTTTCAACAATATCAAACTTCATCTTCAATATACAAACACACTATGTGAAAAAATTTAAACTATCGCCTTTTTATTTATTTACAAAATATTTCAACAAATTCAAGCGTGGCACTCAGCTTTGTCGTATTTAAATGCGGTGCGCTATGAATGTGAGAACCCGCATTATCCCGAATGACTCCGATTATAGCAAGGCTGGTTCAAAGCTCATTTATATACAACATATCTGAGAGTCATTTTGTTTTCAAAACAGCGTATATTTACTTTCATTGATATATATAATCAACTATATGTTTTAGGATTAACAAATACATATTTCATTTGTATTTTTAGGTGTTTGGAGCTCAACTCCTGAGTGTTTGTGACTTTAACGTTAAAAAAAAGACATAAATGATATCGGGCCCACCGCACTGCGTTGCAATCGAATCCACCACCGTCTGCGTTGTAATCAATTTTTGTCAATTCTTTTATTAAAATGGTAATATCAATTTCAAAAAGTTCCAAGATATGGTTGTTTTGTGTAATTATCATACATACGATGCGATGCCAGTGTATCTAGGGGTAGTTTTGAGTACATATGTAGTGTTATAATCAAAATTAGGCAAAAGTGGCGTCCCCTCGTCAAACTGTACAGAAGTGTTTGCATAACTGGTCATGATTTGCACCCCATGCGTGTAATAAGTTGGAAGAGTACATATGTGGGCTCCAGTCTCACTAGGTGTTATCAGTAGAACATAAAAACATAACGTACAAATAAGTCACAAACTTACCGACACCAGCAAAAATCATCCAACAGCCATGTTTTTCCACCGCTTCTGCGACGAAATCTCCATCGCCGCACCGGTAGACCCACCGCTTCTGCGAAAGCTATGGCCAGTGTGGTTTTTATACGGCCAATACACAAACATGGCCGCGCTTACTGATTTGCAGAAATCGGTGATTTAGCAATTTAAATTTTGTTATCATTCGTTTAATATTATTATTTGGCGGCAGAAAATTTGCAGATTTATTATTTATAGTATTCTTTTTCTGAAATAAAGTTTTTATTCTAACCTTGTCTTTCCCTTTAAAGTTCATGTTTACAATTTAGAACATTTTACATGCAAGAAATCTTTTGTTGTGTTGTTTAGTTAATAACATCTTCTGTTTTCTATTTTTTATTTATCTCTCAATACATCTCTTTTTCTAGATAATAAGGCATCTTGAATCCTTTCGTATCTTTTGATATCCATATATTCTACACTTTTCTTCACACAAACATCTGAATAAAGTGGATATTTACTCCCCAAGTTTTTTACAAACGCTTTTTCCCATGAACCATGTAAGTACATGTCCAGTAAAATACCATACACCGCATTCAATGTTAAAATTGTGTGTTTCTGATACACTCTTAAACTGAAAAAGAAAGGTGAAAGATAAATTAAAATGCATATACAATCTATAACAAAACAGTCAGATAGTCATATTTCAAAAGATAAAATAAGATCTGTCTGAGAACAGTGCGCGCCACTTTTCTCAGTGCTGGATAGTAAAATAAAAGCAACATAGAAAAGCAGACATAACTCTGCAAACATGCTTTTCAGACTTACCTCCCCTTGAACATCAACAAATATCCTAAGTGAATACCTTCAACGGTTTTTGAGAAGGCAAGTATTCTAAGTCAAACAAGGGAAATAATTAAGCAAAAAAAATTTCAGGATAATGTCCCCACTAAAAATGCATTTTAAACTTAATAGTCTATCTTTGATGCCTTTTGAGAACTATACCCTAACAAAAATTTAACCATGAATTTCAAAGTCACTAGGGGACAGAACTCAGAAAAAACAAACTTAAATGTTACCTGCCATTTAGAGATGCATCCTAATTTAAAAACTGAAATAAGTATTCTAAATTTGAAGTGATTAACTTCAACAATTTTTGAGAAATTGACCTTAGAAGAAAAAATTAAATTAAACAAGAGGGCCATGATGGCCCTGAGGTCGCTCACCTGTATATAGCCCCACCCCCACACACCCATAAGAAGATGTTTCATGCTAAACATCTAAGCTCTAGCTCATTGGTCTTTGAAAAGAAGATTTTTTTAAGTTTTTACTATAAACATATAGTTAAAAACAATGACACCCCTGGGGCGGGGCCAGTTTTGACCCCAGGGCTTTTATTTGAACAAACTTTGTAGACACTTACTAGAAGATGTTTCATGCTCAATATCTAAACTCTAGCTATTTGGGTTTTTTCAAAGAAGATTTTAAGTTTTTGCTATACACATATAAGGAAAATCAATGACCCCCGGGGCGGGGCCAATTCTGACCCCAGGGCTTTAATTTGAACAAACTTTGTAGACACTCACTAGAAGATGTTTCATGCTTAATATCTAAACTCTAGCTATATGGGTTTTTTCAAAGGAGATTTCTTTAAGTTTTTGCTATACACATATAAGGAAAATCAATGACCCCCAGGGCGGGGCCAATTTTGACCCCAGGGCTTTTATTTGAACAAACTTGGTACACACCTATTAGAACATGTTTCATGCTAAATATCTCAGCTCTAGCTCTTTGAGTTCTTTAAAAGAAGATTTTTTTAAGTTTTTACTATATGCATATAGGGAAAATCAATGACCCCCTGGGGCGGGGCCAATTTTGACCCCAGGGCTTTAATTTGAACAAACTTGGTAGACACCCATAAGAATATGTTTCATGCTAAATATCTAAGCTCTAGCTCATTGGGCTTTTTAAAGAAGATTTTTTAAAGTTTTTACTATACCCATATAGTTAAAAACAATGACACCCCTGGGGCGGGGCCAGTTTTGACCCCAGGGCTTTTATTTGAACAAACTTTGTAGACACTTACTAGAAGATGTTTCATGCTTAATATCTAAACTCTAGCTATTTGGGTTTGTTCAAAGAAGATTTTAAAATTTTTGCTATACACATACCGTATTGTTTCCATTTATCGCCCCCGGGGCGTTGCAAAAACGGAAACGGGGGGCGTTAATTAGAAGCACATTTGCATAAAATGAAAATTAATTTTATTTTTAAAAATATCTAAAAATCTCCCAACTATTTTCGTCCTATAAACCTCTTGTTCATCGTACGATAAATAAGCAGCACAAAATTATTGTAGACAATACGGTAGTCTGCTGACCGAGATAAACTTTGTTAAGTATTGATTTTTCCTGCTCTGGCAGGAAATTATGACGGGAAATTATGACAGGAAATTATGACGTAACAGGCATCAGTTTACCTGTGTGTAAAAAACTTGATTTAATGATTTAATCAATACACAATGGAAGGTTGTACTTCTAAGAAACGTACACGAATGCATTCAAACTGAAAGTTGAATGTTTCTTGGAAGTTACAACAGTTAGTTTTTTTTTTCTGTTTATTTTTTTAAATACACTTCGGATATTAAAATTTTCAATTCAGGTAAGAATTTTTTTTCTTCATTTTTCACCCACGGGGCGCTAATTAGAAGGGGGGCTATAAATAGAAACAATACGGTATAAGGAAAATCAATGACCCCCGGGGCGGGGCCAATTTTGACCTCAGGTCTTTTATTTGAACAATCTTTGTAGACACTCACTAGAAGATGTTTCATGCTTTATATCTAAACTCTAGCTATTTGGGTTTTTTCAAAGAAGATTTTTTGTTTTGCTATACACATATAAAGTAAAATCAATGACCCCCGGGGCAGGGCCAATTTTGATCCCAGGGCTTTTATTTGAACAAACTTGGTAGACACCTATTAGAACATGTTTGATGCTTAATATCTTAGCTTTAGCCCTTTGAGTTCTTTAAAAGAAGATTTTTTAAGTTTTTACTATATGCATATAGGGAAAATCAATGACCCCCTGGGGCGGGCCAATTTTGACCCAAGGGCTTTTATTTGAACAAACTTGGTAGACACCCATAAGAAGATGTTTCATGCTTAACATCTAAGCTCTAGCTCATTGGGCTTTTTAAAAGAAGATTTTTTTAAGTTCTTACTATACACATATAGTTAAAAACAATGACACCCCTGGGGCGGGGCCAGTTTTGACCCCTGGGCTTTTATTTGAACAAACTTTGTAGACAATTACTAGAAGATGTTTCATGCTTAATATCTAAACTCTAGCTATTTGGGTTTTTTCAAAGAAGGTTTTAACTTTTTGCTATACACATATAAGGAAAATCAATGACCCCCGGGGCGGGGCCAATTTTGACCCCAGGGCTTTTATTTGAACAAACTTGGTAGACACCTATTAGAAAATGTTTGATGCTAAATATCTTAGCTCTAGCTCTTTGAGTTCTTTACAAGAAGATTTTTTAAGATTTTACTATATGCATATAGGGATAATCAATGACCCCCTGGGGCGGGGCCAATTTTGACCCCAGGGCTTTTATTTGAACAAACTTGGTAGACACTCATTAGGACATGTTTCATGCTAAATATCTTAGCTCTAGCTCTTTGGGATCTTTAAAAGAAGATTTTTTAAGTTTTACTGTATGCATATAGGGAAAATCAATGACCCCCTGGGCGGGGCCAATTTTGACCCCAGGGCTTTTATTTGAACAAACTTGGTAGACACTCACTAGAAGATAATTCATGCCAAATATCTAAGCTCTAGCTCTTAGGATTTTTTAAAAGAAGATATTTAAAGTTTTTTCTTTCGGTTGCCATGGCAACCAGAGTTCTGCATGGAATTAAATTCTTTGAACAATTTTTAAAGGTGACCACCAAAGGTACATTCCTGTGAAGTTTGGATGAAATTGGCCTTGTGATTTATGAGGAGATGTCATTTAAAGTAAAAGTTTACGGACGGACGCCGGACGAAAAGCGATCACAAAAGCTCACCCTGTCACTTTGTGACAGGTGAGCTAAAAAGGAAAATACCTTTTCAAAATTTTACGATTAGATGTATTTGCCCTTCTGAAATGGTGTAATAATTTGATAGTGAATATGTATATCAAGTTTAAAGTGAATTTCTTATTTTACTGAGAAAAATGGACCTTAACAAAAAGGTTAACCAGGGCTAAAAATCAAAGTTGAAAAAGGGGCAAAACCTAGCAATTTTTTTTTTTATAGGAGAATCTGCCCTTTTGAAATGACATCCTTGCATTGCATACCAAGTTTGAAGTGAATATGAGCCGTGTCATGACAAAACCAACAGTGCGTTTGCGACCAGCATGGATCCAGACCAGCCTGCGCAGTCTGATCAGGATCCATGCTGTTCGCTATCAGTTTCTCTACTTGTAATAGAGTTGGTAAGCGAACAGCATGGATCCTGATCAGACTGCGCAGATGCGCAGGCTGGTCTGGATCCATGCTGGTCGCAAACGCCTTATGTTGGTTTTGTCGTGAAGCGGCTTATCTAGATCAATATCAACAGCAGACGGCTCATATCTTTTATTATTTCTGAGAAAATAGACCTTAATGGGAAGGTTAACCAACTCCAACACCAACACTTATGAAAAAGTCATGACAATAGCTCCACATTTTTTCCTTCCTAAAAGTGGGGGCCAATAAAATGTAATGCTTAGGTTATTTAGTTCTTAAATAAGAGCCAAACATGCATGTCAAACACAAAATACAAACTACATAGTCATATACATGTACATGTACTATTTACCCCAGTGACCAATTGCCTCCACTCTAAAAATTCCCCCTCTTAAAAAAAATTGGAAAAAATCCCCTTTAAAGGATGGATGCTTAAACTGGGGTTAAATGAAAGAAATAACAAGGGTGCCATAGTCACAAAATACGCCCGTTTACAAAAGCTTTAGACGGAGATGGGGGCATTATGGATAAGTGTTATCTAGCAAGCAAGTTTTTATTCTTGGCACATTGTGTTGTTAAATGAACCTTAAAACAAATCAGTAGGGAAGATATGCACAGGATGTGTGACCTTGACCTTGGTCGCAAGGACCTGAATTTTATGCACGGCACTCAGCCTCACAATGATGAACATTTGTGCCAAATTATATTGAAATCCCTCTATGCATGTAGAAGTTTTGCTCCAGACAAGCGTTTTTCTATGAGCTCTAACTGTGACCTTCATCTTTGACCTAGAGACTTGGTTCATGTGCAGGGCACTAAGCCTCATGGTGGTGAACAATTCTATAAAGTAACATTAAAATTCCTCCATGCATGTAGAAAATATGCTCCGGACAACATCTGGATATTTAATCATCTCTAGTGACCTTGACCTTGCAAATATTAACCTTAATTAAATGTGTCACACCTGTAGTCATGATAGTTACCATTTGTGCTACAATCCATCAATAAATGATGACTAAATGGTCCCTATACACATCTTCAAATTTTTATCTGAACTTTGACCTCTATGTGTAACCTTGACTTTGGTCGCAGGGATCTGAATTTTGCGTGTGACACTCAGCCTCACAATGGTGAACATTTGTGCCAAGTTATATTGAAATCCCCCTATGAATGTAGAAGTTTTGCTCCGGACAAGTGTTTTTCAATGAGCTTTAAGTGTGACCTTGACCTTTGACCTAGAGACCTGGATCATGCATGGAGCAATACATATCATGGTGGTGAACATTCCATAAAGTATTATAAAAATTCTTCCATACATGTAGGAGATATGCTCCAGACAAAATCTGGATATTTCACCATCTTTAGTGACCTTGACCTTCCATATATTGACCTAAAGTACATGTGTCACAGCCGTAGTCATGATAATGACCATTTGTGTTACAATCCCTCAATAAATGATGATTAAATCGTCCCTATATACATCTTCATATTTTTATCTAAACTTTGACCTCTATGTGTGACCTTGACCTTGGCTGCAGGGACCTGAATTTTGTGCGCCTCACAATGGTGAACATTTGTGCCAAGTTATATTGAAATCCCTCAATGCATGTGGAAGTTTTGCTCCGGACAAGCGTTTTTCAATGAGCTCTAAGTGTGACCTTGACCTTTGACCTAGAGACCTAGTTCATTTGCGTGACATAGCTTCTCATAATGGTGAACATTTCTATGAAATTTCATTAAAATCCCTCCATGCGTGTAGGAGATATGCTCCGGACAAAATCTGGATATTTCATCATCTTTAGTGACCTTGACCTTGTATATATTGACCTAAATTATATGTATCACAGCCATAGTCTTGATAATGACCATTTGTGTTACAATCCCTCAATAAATGATGACTAAATGGTCCATATACACTTCTTCATATTTTTATCTGAACTTTGACCTCTATGTGTGACCTTGACCTTGGCCGCAAGGACCTGAATCTTGCGGGGGACACTTCGCCTCACAATGGTGAACATTTGTGCCAAGTAATATTGAAATCCCTCGATACATGTGGAAGTTTTGCTCCGGACAAGCATTTTTCAATGAGCTCTAAGTGTGACCTTGACCTTTGACCTAGAGACCTGGTTCATGTGCGCGACACTGCTCCTCATAGTGGTAAACATTTCTATGAAATTTCAATAAAATCCCTCCATACATGTAGGAGATATGCTCCGGACAAAATTGGACGCCGCCCGCCCGCCAGGGGCGTTCCCATAATACGTCCCGTTTTTCAAACGGGCGTATAAAAAGCATTGTTTACAACTGTTTAAATTACTTTCCCTAGAGTCCAACTTTATTTTTTTTCTTAAAAACAGACCCAAAGTTATAAGCAAAACAAGAGCTCCCTGTTTCTAAATATGATGAACAATAGCTCCATGTTTCTAAATATGCAAAACAATATGAATGAATAGGTTAATTAAGATTTTTCTTACTCGCAGTATGTTTTGATTGGAAACGACGCAGTTCTGATGCCTAGCTGCCTGGCAATACCTAATGTCTGATGCTTTTTATTCGCCAAATCAACAAATCCGCCAACAATGTATGTGCAGTCTCTATCAAATCTCTTCATCGGTGGACCATCTGGTGTCAGGTAAACCAAATCTGATTTATCAAATAAGTCAGAGAAGTGTTCCTTGTGCACAGTGCAAGATTCCATTTTCTGATACTTTATAAATCGCGCAATATGTTCATTTTTATCAATGCTTGTTAAATGAATATTCAGAGGCTGCAAATGCCTCTTATTCATTCCCCATATTTCTTGAATCTGTGTAGCAGAATGAATATACTCTCTTTCCCTCTGCTTGAAGTCTAAATCGAAGATCATGTTAATATCTGAATGCCAAGCCTTCAATTTCTTCCAGTTATCATGATCTCTTTGTCTTGGTGAATAATTAATGCTAAACTCCGGTATCCTAAAATTTGCTGCTAATTCTTCATATCTTTTTTGTTTTTTTATTCTATTAATTTCTTTCTTCTCTTCACTGCTTCTCCTGCGTAATTCGTCTTTGTAAAGCTTTCGAAAGTACTTTACTCTAGCATTATATGTATTATGCTCGGTAATCAGGACTTTCCAACTTGTAATAGGTATAGTCTCTGGCACCTTTATAAAGAAAACAACAATAAAATGAAAACTAGAGCTATAACAGAAAGTGATTTATACCCCCATCAGCAACTTTGACTTTTTGAAAAATAAGTAGTCTGAAGAAAAATTTGAACTCAACCTATAGTAAATGAAGTATCAACTGTGTACAAAGAATTATTTCAATTAATTGTAATCCCAACCAGAATCTTCATATTAACTTGCTATACACCAAATTTGATTACATATCTCATTCCTAACCTTAGTTACTAGTACTGTCTGGAAACAATTTTTCTATTCTTAGTAACATTGACCTTGACCCCCAGGGGGTCCAAATGCGATACCGATCTCCACATAATCTCCATCAGGTCTCCTCATCAGCTTTACATCAAGTTTGATTATAATATCTCATTCCAAACTCTAGATATTGTCTGGAAACCTTTTTTTCTATTTTTAGTAATATTGACCTTGACCCCAGGGGGTCCAAATGCAATACCAACCGAAGTCTCTAACATAAGTTGGCTATACACCAAGTTTTATTACAATAATTTATTCCTAACTCATAGTTCTTGTCTGGCAACTGTTTTTCTATTCTTAGTAACATTGACCTTGTCCCTAGGGGTCCAAATACCATCCAGGGTCTCCACGTAAGCTTGCTATACACAAGGTTTGATTACAATATCTCATTCCCAACTCTGGTTATTGCCAGTAAACCATTTTTCTATTTTTAGCAACGGTGACCTTGACCTTTAGTTATCGTCTGGAAACCATGAAGTGGACAGACCAATGGACCAACCAACAGACAAGCTGACTCCTATATACCCGTCCTAAACTTCATTTGTGACGGTAGAATAAACAAAAGAGCCATGACATCATAGTCACCAGAGTTTGTAAGAAAATTTGCAAATTTTTCTCTTTTAAAATGTATGGAAAAACAACGTAAGGACCTTGCTTTTAGAGGAATCAGAATTGTTTACCTACCTAATCTGCTTGACAGTTATGGTAACCTTTAAATCATTCATATTTAAAAATCAAAATGTGACAAACAGATTTTAATCAAGATGATTTTTAATAATTTTTCTCAATATTGTCATCTTTTGTTTCCTGAATTTAATGAACAACCTTGGAAGACGGTCCCCTACAGCTAATTTGTTTTGAAGATTTTCAAAATGTTTCATACATGTATACAGTCAAGACTGCCTGTTTCAATGACTCTTTGTTTTATCAGACAATTGCTTCAGTCCACCCAACACATTTCCCTATATAAATGATCTGAATTATGCGACTTCCTGTTATAAGTGACTTGTTTGTTTGATAAAGTATAATGTCACACCAACACAGTATTGGTCATATGGTGACATTCCAGCTTTAATGGTGGAAGAAGACCTCAGGTGCCCTTCTGTGAATCATTTCAGGCACGAACTGACACCCGGGTAGAACCGACAACATTCCAGAAGCTAGCTGGATAGCTTCCTCACATGAAAGAATCCAAAGTCCCTGTCAGGATTCGAACCCACAGCGGCGAGGGGTTAGTTTGAAGTCAACAACCTCTTAACCACTTGGCCACACTGTCATATGTGACATACAAACCTAATTGTCTGGTCCAAATGCATTGCTTTGTCTAATTTTAAACAACTTTCACACCTTGTTATTGTCCAGTTATCAGATAAAGTAATACCTGTTTTTACACCCAAGGGACAAAAAAAATTAAGTTATTTCATGATAACAAGCAAAAATCTGGAAGCATGATGCTTTAATATTAAAATGGACTGTTCCAAATTCAATGCAGGGCAAATTTATTAAATGGATATTAGGTTCAGTGTTAATAACACAAGAGCTCGAAAATTTGAAAGAGTTGTCATAAGGGTGTTTCATTGAGTATAATAAGGTTTACCTATATAATACATAAATTGTCCTAAAAAAGGAACAAAGGCTTGTTATTAGGATGTTTTATCAAGTAAATTACTGCTTGATTATTATGACTGCATAAAACTGTCACCCAAAGAGCACAAACCCTTAAGTAAATGTAGTATGGAGATACATGCTTACATGCAAAAATGTAACCGAGTATTTCTTCGCTGAAAACGGGGCTAAATTATGCAAACAAATCAGAGTTATGATAATTGTGTCAATCACGTTAGATAATCACAGACAAGAAGTGTGTGAAGTTTCAATCCATTCCCTTCAGTAGTTATGGAGATGCATGCTAACACGCAAAAACTTAACCAAGAAGTTGAAAAAGGGCATAATTATGCAAAAAATCAATTTAGAGTTAAGGTTTTAGTGCCTATCATGTTAGATAATCTAAGAGAACAAGTGAGTGAAGTTTCAATCCATTCTCTTCAGTAGTTATGGTGTTACCAGCTTACACATAAAAACTTAAACACATGGACGAAAACGCCAACAAATGGGGGACTGCATTGGCTCGAGTATATTGCGAATAGTCAAGCTAAAAATTAACAATGTAATCAGCATAGTTATTGAGGTAAATTTGTTAAATTAGATGATTATATTGTGCAAGATTTATACTGATAATAATGCATACTTCTACATTTTCGCCTTGTAAAATTTCGCGCAATTGTTTAATTTCTTTCATTTTCTCTAATCCGGATTCATCAAGGTTTGCAACAAATTCTTCAGCCTCTCTCAACATCTCCTCCTGTAGTGGCTCTTTTGGCTGTACATCACAATAAGCTGCTGAAGGAACTGCAAATAAAAAACAAACATGGTCCAAACTGCCTAGAATTGCTCAACTGAAATATTGTAAAGTATTAGCTTCTGTTAAATTTCAGTGTTCATACAGACATCATCAAATGCCAAAATTCTAGCATTTTTTTGGCATGTTTTCCCATTTTTCAAGCACAATTTGTTCCACATATATTATTTGTAACCAATGAAAAATTAATGTAACTTTAAAACAGTCATACAACATTGGAAACTTTATTCTTAACTGTACATCATCTTTATGTGATATTTTAATACATGTATTCTTGTATAGTGCAAACTAAAATATTCTAGTATGACCAGCAAATTCAATTATTATTATTGTTCATCTTCTCTCATTACATACATGCAATGTATTTGTCCGGGGGCCGGTTCTCCCATATTTCAAATGATTTTTACCAACACTATGTCAGTCCTAGTGAAACTTGAAATAATCTTACAGGACAATAGGTCCTGTGAAACCTAGTATTTTACAGGACCTTGGTGACAATTTATAATACAGGACCCTAAAATTTTGTAGAATTTTCCCCATTTATAATAGTTATTAGTATGTAAACCAATTTCAAGCATATCTGCAGCAAATTTAAGCACTTTTCAAGTATCAAATTTAAGGACTTTTAAGCACTTTTTTCCTTTTTAAGCATTTTTAAAGAAAGGTACTCAAATTTAAGCACTTTTAAAGTCTGTACCTACCCTGTTTATAGTTAACTAAATTCTTAAAGGAATGGATCAACACAAGATCTGACAGAAACTGTTTTAAACTCTAAACCAGCTTGAACAAAAATGGATAACCATTTGTCATCAGTATAGAGCCGGGCTAAAATGCACATCAAAGCAGTCAAATCATGCTGTGCATGATACGGCAAGCATTTTAGGTGACTGTTGACCGCGGACAGCAGCTGCAGGTGACCGTTAACGGATGTATAAAATAGAGTGGTTGAGGCATCACAAACTGACTGTTAAGGTCAGGTGACCGCTGAAAAGAAGTGATCCTTAGTACAGGTTTGACTGTAACATGTATATATTTTTAGTAGAGTAACTCAACATTTTTGTCTAGATACTTATTGATGAGCATCATTTCCTTATCATCATTATCATACACTTAAAATATATACTTGTGCCTCATATTTCCGTGGTACTTAACTGTTTAAACACAGACAACAAAAGTTAAGAGGACAAAATTCTGGAAAACAAAGTGAATATTGTAGGATAGACATGTCAATTGCATCATAGTTAATTCCATTTAATGTTTGCATGTAAGCAATTATGTATACAACATTGTAATTAACAACCATCTGCAGCCTAGTGAGTAAATTTGTGTTCTCATATTTCCTAGGCAATTACATTTTAACAGTTTCAAAAGCAAAACCAATAGTAAACTTTATTTATTAGTACACCTATACCTAGGCTCATCTGAAAGGGGCGATTTTCTCTTTGGCATTTATCAAATACCTCAATGGTTCTTTAAGAAAGAAGATTTTTTTAAAAGGTATGAAATCGAAAAGAAAAATGGTGAAATATTAAATAACTTTGCTCTTAATCTGAATAAAATAATTTTTTTTAGTTCTATATGTTACATTTCGATAAAAATACAATAAAATAGTAAAAGTAAAACTACTGGCAGGTTCATTAAGTCTAGGAGGCACTTTAAACTGTTTAAGCCATATACCTTGGAAATATGGGTACCTCGGAAATATGAGGCACCAGTATACATTTCCTTATGTTGTTAACAAATATTTAACAAGGGGGAAGGGGAGCAAACTTTTAAGAAAGGAAAATTATTATAATAAAACAAACTACAAACCTCTCCAAAAAAGTTGTTTTGACAATCTTGTGGGAATCTGAAGTAATCTTTTTATCAACATCTTCACTGCCTAAAATTACAAAAAAACAAATGTATACAAGATGTTTACAGTTCACTTTTGATCTAGCCTATCAAACCAAGATTATTAATTTTTACAGATTAAAGTTAATGAAAATCAAAATCTATGCCAGTTGATATCAAATTTCAATTTAACATCTAAAACTGTCCACTAGGTCCACATTTAATAGCTATACATCAAAGGACAAGAAAGTAGGTCACTTTGTGAAATTATCTAGGTCAGCTGATATAAAAGTTCAATCTTACATCTGATTCAAATTCCATAGAACAACAAGAGCGATCAGTGATCACATGTGTCGCCTCATGATGGCCAATTTCATGTTGGGACAAGTTTTGTGACAGACGGACAAACAGATGAACAGTGCACAACTAGACTTGGTACTGATCATTCCTGTAAGGTTTAGGTAAGTAGTTTATGAGGAGTAGTCCGGACAAACTTTTGTGTATCTGGCAACACACAGAAAAAAAACACCTTTTTATCAAAGGGCCATAACTCGGCCAAAAATCATTCAACTGGAAAACCCGTGCAATATGCACAAGGACTTGAGCTACAGATCAATCCTGTAAAGTTTCATTGAAATTGCATAAGTGGTATAAGAGAAGTAGTCCGGACAAACTTTAAAAATAAAAATTATTAAAGGGCCATAACTCTAACAAATATCATTGAACCGAAAAATGCTGACAATATGCACAACTAGACTTGGTACTGTCATTCCTGTAAAGTTTGGATGAAATTGCACCATTAGTTTATGAGGAGTAGTCGGGCAAGCTTTTGTGTTTATGAGGAGTAGTCGGGCAAGCTTTTGTGTATCTGGCAACACACAGAAAAAAACACCTTTTTTATCAAAGGGCAATAACTCGGCCAAAAATCATTCAACTGGAAAACCCGTGCAATATGCGCAAGGACTTGAGCGAAAGATCAATCCTGTAAAGTTTCATTAAAATTGCATTAGTAGTATAAGAGAAGTAGTCCGGACAAACTTTAAAAATAACAAGAAACATGGCAATGCCACGAAACCAGGTTTTCAGTTATCACCATTGTAGATAAAATATGTTGTAGTTGAAATACAAATACAAGAAACAAATTGTAACTATGTGCAATGTAAATCATGAATAATGTAGGAGGAATTGCACACAGAAGAAGAATTCACCATATATTCTGTATAAGGAAAAAAAAACAAAGGGCCATAATTAAGTCAAAAATTATCCAATCACAAAACCCCGACAATATGCGCCAGGGCACTTGATGACAAAGCTTCTGTGAAAGTTTGAACAAAATCCCTTGAGAAATGTAGGAGGAGTTGCACACAGAAGAAATTGTTCACTATATATTCTATATAAGGAAAAAAAACAAAGGGCCATAATTAGGTCAAACATTATCCAATCAAAAAACCCCGACAACCTGGGCCAGGGCACTTGATGACAAAGGTTCTCTGACAGTTTGGTCAAAATACGTTGAGAAATGTAGGAGGAGTTGCGTACAGAAGAAATTGTTCACTATATATTCTGTATTAGGAAAAAAACAAAGGGCCATAATTAGGTCAAATACTACCCAAACACAAAACCCCGACAATATGCGCCAGGGCACTTGATGACAAAGGTACTGTGAAAGTTTGGTCAAAATCTCGTGAGAAATGTAGGAGGAGTTGCGCACAGAAGAAATTGTTTACGCCCGCCTGCCCGTCCGCCCGCCGACATACCTCAATCTAATAACCAGATTTTTCCTTCGGGAAACCTGGTTAAAAATTATTAAAGGGCCATAACTCTAACAAAAATCATTGAACCGAAAAATGCTGACAATATGCACAACTAGACTTGGTACTGATCATTCCTGTAAAGTTTGGATGAAATTGCACCAGAAGTTTATGAGGAGTAGTCCGGACAAGTTTTGTGACGGACAGACAGACGGAGGAGAAGTGATCCCTATATGTCGCCACTACTCCGTAGAGGCGACACAATTAAGTAGGTCAAATTCATCAAATTATCTAGGTCAGCTGATATCAAAGTTCAGTAGTAGCCTGTAGGTCACATCATATCATCAAAATTTAGGTCAGCTGATAAACCAAATCATCCATTTTTATAAAACAAATAACAGACTGTCAAATTCCATAGAAATGTGTCTTTCTCATAGTCACTTAAAAGACCAGGAATGTGTCAAGTAGCTCTTAAAATATACAAGCCTCATGAATGTGCTATTAAAATATCCCTTATTTAAAAAAGTATTTTTTATCATAATCATGGAAAATTTATCAAACTAAAAGAGCCAATGTCCTATATTTACTTGACAGATGGACAAAATGCTCATGTTTTTTTTAATGTTTTAGTGAGATATACATTTCCAGAGTAGCTTATTCTAAATAATGATGACAATGATATTTTTAACAATGCTCCAATTGAATTAGTTGTGCATCTCCTCCCATAAAATAATATCTTCATCTTTTTATCACTTTTCTTATTAATTATTGTCTTAAACAAGAACTGTCAGGGGACAGTATTGGCTCGACTATTCGAAAAAGTTGTCACAAGGGTGTTTTATTGAGTGTATTAATGCTTATTACCTATGAACACATAAAATTGACCGAAAAGGTACAAAGGCTTCTTATTAATAAGATGTTTTATCAAGTAAATCACTGTTTTATTATTATAAATGCATAAAACTGTCCCAAAAAAGGCACACACCCTTCAGTAGTTATGGAGATAAAAGCTTTCAAGGAAAACTTTACCATGAATTTTTAAGTTGAAAATGGGGAGAAAAATCAGCCTAAATGCAAGATAGAATTATGGATCTTGGTCAGTGACCTACAATTATGACCCTAAATGCATATGTGAAGTTTTAAATAAATATCTTTAATAATTATTGAGATATGTAAAACTTGCATGTAAACATTAACCTGGAGACTAAGTAGAAAAGGGGAGATGAATCAGCCTAAATGCAAGATAGAGTTATGGAACTTGGTCAGTGACGTACAATTATGACCCTCCAATTATAACCCTAAGTAATATGAAAAGTTTCCAGTAAATATCTTTGAAGACCTTTAACCTTTAACCAAAATTTCTAAGTTTCAAGGGGCAAATAATTCTGCAAATATTGCAGGCAGAGTAATGCAATATTGCAAACTGATGTACATTGTTACTATAACAAGAGCTGTCACAGGAGACAGCAAAGCTCGACTAATAAAATACTGGACGCAGTAAGGAGGACAAAACTATGAAAGAAAAATCAATTATGTATAATTATGTATTGAGTTATAGTAAAAAAATAACATTTGTTAACATAAATTCCAAGATCAAGGGGAATAATTCTAGAAATAGTCATGCTAGAGTTATGGACCTTGCCACACAACATTTGTGTAATGATAAGAAATATATATTTGAAGTTTGAAGTAGATACCTTAAAAAATAAAGAAGTTATTATATTTCTTAAAGAAAATCCTAAGTTCAAAGAGAGATAAATCTGTAAATATTGCTTCAAGAGTTATGAACATTGTCACATAAAATGTAATTGATGATAAGGAATAAGTATTTGAAGTTTGAGGTAGATAAAATAAAAAAGTTAAAATAAAAAATAACATTTTTCTAGTAAATAAATCTAAGTTTATGGGGAGATAATTCTTGCAATATTGGTGCTAGAGTTATGAACCTTGTCACATAAGATGTGGATGATGATAACGTAAATATATTTGAAGTATGAAGTTGATCCCTTTAGAAATAAATAAGTTACAGTAAAAATAATATTTTGTATGGAAAATTCTAAGTTCAAAGGGAGATAAATCTGTAAATATTGGTGCTAGAGTTATGAACCTTGTCATATAAGATGGGGATGATGATAACGTAAATATATTTGAAGTATGAAGTTGATCCCTTAAGAAATAAAGAAGTAAAAGTAAAAAATAATATTTTTAAAAGGAAATTCTAAGTTCAAGGGGAGTAAAAAATAACACTTTTCAAGTAAAAAAATACAAGTAAATAGGGAGATAAATCTGAAAATATTGGTGCTGGAGTTATGAACCTTGTCACATAAGATGTGGTTGATGATAAGGAACATATATTTGAAGTTTGAAGTTGATACCTTATGAAATGAATAAGTATCAGTAAAAAATAGTATTTTTTAAGGAAAATTCTAAGTTCAAGGGGAGATAAATCTGAAAATATTGGTGCTAGAGTTATGAACCTTGTCACATAGGATGTAGTTGATGATAAGGAACATATATTTAAAGTTTGAAGTTGATACCTTAAGAAATGACAAAGTTATAGTGAAAAATATTTTACTGCACCAAAACTTTAATCTAAAATCTGGACGCGGACGCGGACGCCGACGCCGACGCCGGGGGCGAGTAGGATAGCTCTCCATATACTTCGTATAGTCGAGCTAAAAAAGTATTGTAAATTTCTATTCAATATCTCAAGCAATAATTGGGATATTTGACTTTACAAAAAAAAATTAACCAAAATTTCTAAGTTAAAAAGGGGCATAATTCTGTCAATATTGTAGGCAGAGTTATCCAACTTGTCAATCTGATATACATTGTTACTATAAATAAGTACTGCAAGTTTCAATTGAATATCTCAATCAATAATTCAGATATGCTTGAGCAACACACTATTAGCAGATGCTGAAGTAGTCCTATAAATATGACGTCGCTTTGAGATATTTTTGCTTCTGGGCAAAGCAACATAAACTATAACAAGCCTGTAACGGGTCTGACTATAATCTAACAGTTGAGGTAAACATACGCGTGATAAAATCTCAACACTTGAGGAAATACCGCTGTAAACTAAACCGCTGACGAATTAGCTGACGATAGAGAGTAAATAGGAAACTGCTGGCCAGTTAAATGGAAACTGCGGAAAAATATAATATATTTTATATATCTAACTGGTTAGCACTTTTTATAATAAGTTTAATTGGTCAGCAAATTCTACCATATGTTTAACTGGGCAGTAGCTTCTGGCACGCTGAATTTGATGCCCATATAAAATAAGAAGGAAATT